GGTGCAAAAATGCCTAAAGTGCACTCCTAGATTTCAGGAAGAATTCAAGACAAAAGGGTAATTTTTTCAGGGCACTTCTTAGGCACATTTAACATTTCCAGATGTTCACAATAAGATAGGAAATCTTCACGTTTTCTGTTCAGGTCCACATTAATAAGTGGCCTCTATTTAGGTTGCTACACATTCTGCACTACATAGTATTAAAATGTAAAGCTGGCCACATACTGCAATATGTTTTTCATTCAATCCATGGGCTGAACAAAAAAAAATAGAACAGATTTCCCCATCAATGCTCGTAAGAATTCCCCCAGCACTGTCAGAATACACAAGAGGTCGAAGGTTTTCCAACTGGCTCTTCTGATCGAGAGATGCTGGCCAGAAGGGTGAAGACGGGCACCCACTGTGCTAATTTCGGCCAGAAATTTGCATAGTGTATGGCTAGCTTAAAGTGACATTAAAGTCACAATTCTTTTCCTCCCCTGCCATGATACTTACCTTAAATGAGGCCTCTTTATACAATCATCTTCTTCTTTCCAGTAGTATTCAGGATTTCCACCAGTGCTGGTGCCGGTCTCTGATCCAGCACTGACTGCTGTGTCTTCCTGTCCCATGGAGTCTGTGCAGGTGCACGCTGCCAGGCTGCCTGCATTGATTACCCTGTGTCGCTCCTCGTCTCCCGGCCGAAGATCTATACTGTGCATGCGCCCACCCCATGATCCTTTGCGGCCACCCGAGAATCTTCAGACAGAAACGTGCAAGGGAGACACAGGTAAGTCTTAACTGTTTTGGTGACTTTTTTCTAATGCATATATCTAACTGCTAGCAAGCAGTAGATATATGCAAAAAACCCTGAGGGTTTAAAGGAGAACTATGAGGTGAGTGCTTTTCACTCACCTCATAGTTCTAGCCGACCTGTGACAATGAGACTGTCACAGGTCGGCTCAGTAGATCGGGAGGTGAGCGAACACATACCGGCGTTCGCTCACTTCTCCATCCTGTCACAGATCTCTGCCGTGACAGGGGAGTGGCTGGATTCCCCCCTCCTCCAGCGCTGACTGGCGGAACGGATGGGGGAGGGTGCGGGTACAGCTGGCTCTGCCTCTAGATAGGCAGAGCCAGCTGGCACTCACGCAGCTGGGCCGATCCAGACATAATTGTCGCGATCCGCTTCAGCTGCGGCGTCTCAGCAGTAGCTCGCAGTATACTGAGCTTAGGGTGACGGGAGGACGCTAGTTTGTGTCCTCCCGTTACCCTAAGGAGAACTATTGGGAAAAACCCTAACCCCATAGCTCTCCTTTAATTATAATTTAAGCAGCACTTTTTATTCTCTCATCTGCTGTTAGTCCAAAACTTAGCTGAACAAAGCGTGCCCTACCAGTGAGATCCAAAGCAGGACACTTATTGGTCTTTCCCCATTATCCGTCCCCCAGCATACATACTTTATTTTCTAAGGCAAGACAATAAGAGAGGAGTGCACGTTGGAGCAACTATTCTAAGAAGCAAGTGATCATTTGTTGGATTATTTCATCTGAATACCTTTGGGCATAGAGAAATGAGAAGATCCACAGTAATCAAACATTGATTACCTTTCAATCATGAATGGCTGAAAGCTAAAATCGTACTGCATACTGTACAGCAATGCTTGTTGCAAAATGGCATTAACTTAACCACACTGTCATATTAGGAATACATTGACTAACTAGCCTTTGATCAGCCATGCGACAGTCCAGGGACAGGATTACAAAGTTTAATTATTAGCTACATAGAAGATAAAATCAACGCCAATATGGAAATAAAATGATCTGAGATAACCTTCTCAGCTGATATTTCTGCAGCTCTGATATCTTCCTATAGTTGTAAAATGCATGATACTCATTTCTTGATAAGGTTTTAGTTGTCAATAACGATAACCTGGCATTGTGTAAAAGGATGTCAATAGGAATTTTCTAAAAATTTGACAGTCGAAATCACGGAGCATAAAATGGTTGTTTCCTTCTTAGGCAGAGAGAATTCCATGGGCCATTTCACCAGCTGCATTATATGAATGGGCCTTAAAATGTGAGCTGAAGTGTGTGTAACCTGATGGGGAATAACGAAGAGTTAATTGTGACATCTGCTAATGTTATCAATTGGGCCTTCAGTGTATATGGGAAGATGTTCTGGCAAATCATGTGTCAATATCCCAACTGGTCTATATTTCTCACACAGCAACCTGTTAGCCGGTAGACCTAGAACTTGATAGTTGGAGCCTTGCCAGCACAAATTCAATTCCAACATTTTGGGGGCCCGTAGGTTCCATTTGTCAAGAAAACATAATGACCATTGTGTTGCCTTGAGAAAGGGACCCTGTGTGGCCCTAAAATGTCAGTATTTACTTGGTGAAAATATATCTGTAAAAAATAGGTCACGGCAACTGGACTTGCTGTATTTTTCTTGAAGACGTTTCACTGGTCATCCGACCAGCTTTCTCATTTCAGAATGGCTTGTACAAAAAAATTATCTGTGAATAAATATTATCATATAAATATAGATACCTATATTTATTCCCAGATAATTTTTGTACAAGTCATTCTGAATTTAGAAAGCTGGTTGGATGGCCAGTGAAACGTCTTCAAGAAAAATACAGCAAGTCCAGTTGCCTTGACTTATTCTTTACAGATACACCATGACCTGGATGAATGAGAACCTTCACAGACATATTGGTGACAATATATTTCTACAATTTACTGTGAAGCATATTTGTTGTAGTGCTGGGCTGCGTATGACTTCCATCCATTTGGTCATATCAAGTATCCACATACTGAAGGCAGCCTTTTTTTTTTTTTTTCAAA